TTCAATTATTTTCTTGGAGACACTTACTTGGGTTCCACTCTGAAGGCTTATTATTTGTTTCATACAGCAGTGACAAGCCTCCTTTGTAGGCAAGCAGGAGAGGAAAAGCTATGTAAATCCATGCACATGCTACCCTATTTCATCCTCCCAGCCACTGAAATCCACAAATTGGCTGGGCTCTGCTATTGCTGACCTCGCTGGAACAGCAATTGATATTATTGTAGCTGATGGGAGGGCTGGGGAAAGTTGACTAAATCATTAAAACTGTCTGATTTCCTGGTTTCATGGTCAAAGGAGGGGGAATTCCACAAGCATACCACTGCAGTAGGTGTGGAGCAAAAGAGAAAGGGGATCTCTTTGGTTCTTAAGGCAATAAGGGGAAACGCATGGAGAAGACCTGGGCCTTGGCAATCAAGCCCTATGGCTGTTATAAACATTTCCTCAAGGGCCCTTATTTATTAGCTCCCTGGCTGGCCACGCCTGATTTTGCAGGTTCCCTTAACAGAAGTTAGTTAGGCTTTGGCTTATACAAGACCCTGAGAAGGTGTTCTTGCTCTGTAAATTTAATGTGTCAGTAGGCCATAAGGGTTCTAGTGTGCTAGTTTGTTTTTAAATATGCAAGCCTATGCCTGAGCTACAGGATGTTCCATAAAAGCATTAGAGTAATCAAAGTCATCCAAAATCTCACCACTATGAAAGAGAACAAGATCAACTTTGAAACTGCTCTGCTACATGCTACATCCCCAAGAGCTGTGTCACACAGGAAAACTAGAAGGGGAAAAAAATCTCCAAAAATACATCCTTGTCCAAAAATACAACTCTAACTTACTTTCCAAAAGAATTTCTCTCTGAGCTCTTTGGGATATTCTGACTGACCATACACCACAAGATCAAAAAAATACAAACCCTGGAAAAGCAAATGAAGAATGCAGTTCTGCTGTTACTAACATCCTGGCTCCCAGTTTACTCACCTATAGCCACTACCAAAAACTGTGTGGGTGTGGCAGGGGGAGATGTAAATAATTTCAGGAACATAGCAACTGCAGATCAGTTTGTATCTGAGTACTTAAATCATAAGAATCATCAACCATGGTTGCATTCAATAATTAGACCAAACACACTGTTTTTCTTTCTTTTTTTAAAAAAAGCGGTTCAGGTTTAAACAGAAAACAATCCTTGGTGGTCTCCCATTCAAGTACTAACCAGGACTGACCCTGGTTAGTTTCCAAGATCTGAAAAGATTGGGCTATCCTAGGCCTTCCAGGTCAAGACAAGAGATGAACATATGTGGTTTGCCATTGCCTGCCTCTGCGTAGCAACTCTGGACTTCCTTGGGGGTCTCCCATCCAAGTACTAACCAGAGAGAGAGAGAGAGAGAGATGTGACACCTAAATTGCCTTTGTTCCAAATGCTTACTGAGAAAACTTGTAAATAGAAAACCAATTCTAAATGGAGATGAAGGATGTTTGCCTATCAATCCTCTTGTATCCAGGGTTCAATTACTGCTAGTGGCTTACTGATAATTGATAAAATTTGTTTCTTGGGATATATGACTGTTCTGTGGTGTTTCCAGCTTTTATTACAGAAGAGTCAACTTTTCCATGAGTTTAATAAATTTTCCAGCAGGCAATTAAAACAGCACTTGCTCTCCGCTCCCTCCCCCCCAACATTTTCTCACGGAGCTCCAGTAGGCTGGCAAGCAGAGCATGCTCCAAACCCCCCTCCCCCCTCCCAAACAAACATCGACACCCACCCCGGAGCAGCTTGGTCATCTGAAGCCTCTCCAAGCCGGCTGGCCGGCTTGGGAACGATGCAGGTGAGCCGATCACGTTCCAAGCCCCCTCCCCCCACCAAACAAACTTTGCCATGCACCGCAGAGGGATCTGCTCGTTTGCTGGCCAGCTTGGGAACGATGCAGACGACGATGCAGACGAGCTGAGCACACTCCAAACCCCCCACACACACACCAAACAAACTTTGCCATGCACCACAGAGGGACCTGCTCGTCTGCAGCCTCTCCAAGCCGGCTGGGCGGCTTTGGAATGATGCAGAACCAGCCTACCCCCCCCCAACCCCCCCCCCAAACAAACTTTGCCATGCACGCAGAGGGACCCACTCGTCTGCAGCCTCTCCAAGCCAGCTGGCCGGCTTAGGAAGGATGCGGGTGAGCCGATCAAGTTCCAAGCCCCCTCCCCCCACCAAACAAACTTTGCCATGCACCACAGAGGGACCCGCTCGTTTGCCGCCCCGCCAACCCCGCTGGCTGGCTTGGGAACGATGCAGACGAGCTGGCTGAGCAGACTCCAACCTCCCCCCAAACAAACTTTGCCATGCACCGCAGAGGGACCCGCTCATCTGCAGCCTCTCCAAGCTGGCTGGCCAGCTTTGGAATGATGCAGACGAGCTGAGTCTCCCACCCCCCCCCCCCCACAAACTTTGCCATGCACCACAGAGGGAGCAGCCTCGGCGACCGGGAGGAGGAAGCCAACTTACCCTCCTGCTTCTCCGGAAGAAGGGGGCGGGGCTTCGCCATGTGACGCCCCCCCCGCCTCTCTTCCCGAGCTCCGTGCGGGCGAGCTCCTGCCCCATCCAAGCCCTGACCGGCGTATAAGACGACCCCCCACTTCTGAGAAGATTTTCCTGGCTTAAAAAGTCGTCTTATACGCCGGAAAATACGGTAGGTAATCTCTGATACCTTGGCCACATGTTCTCCAGCACTTGCTGTAAAATCATGGTGGCTTTTTAAACTATTCAAGTTGACCTGGAACTGAGAAAACCAAAGTAATAAATGGTTTGGGGAAGGGGGCAGTTTATGGCAAATTGATTTTTCTATTGAGTGAGGATTTCAAGTGCCTCCACAACTAAAAGTTACTCTCTCTGTAATGATATATTCAAGTCCTTTCTCCTGATGGGTATTGTACTTTTGACTTCTACTGTAATCGGACACAAATGCAAGTGAACTGTTGCTTCCCTGCTAATGAGCAGGGATTTTGGTCATGACTCTCTTCAAACAATAAAAACACTAATAGCACAAAGGACTTCTGATGTCTCTTTTTTATTGTTGATACCCAAAGATGTTCCTGATCATTTTCACTGACCTGTTTTTTTTGGGGGGAGGGACTGTTTTTACCCCAGTGGTTTTAAATAATCATGTATTTTCTTGGAAGCACTGAACCAAAGAAAGAGTTACTTGTCCCATAACAGGCAAAATGAAAATATTAGCTGCAGCTAATTTGCTTATTTTAGGTGTGCGAAATAAATATAAGCATTGCGTTTGGATATCATTTGCATTAATCTAGAAAAGTACAAAACTTGAGTCAGTAGAGTTATGGTTTTGATGCACCTGTCCCCTCTTGGGAATATTTCACATGTCTAAGAGAAAATCCCTATGCACATGGGCAGCTGTTGCCTTTATGGACAAGAACGGGAAGCATGGAGTCCCTAGATTGTGACCATTCTTCTGCATTGTGGAAAACACATCAGTGCCCTTGGAGGGGAGAAAAAATAGATTGATTAGGACATCTTGAGGTTTGTGGGACATAAATATTAATGGAAAATTAATGTAGAATTTGGGCTTCTTCATTCTTGTTGCCATGGTCCTGGTCTATAAGCATTTTTATCATCATAGCCTAATGAGAACCAGGCCTTTAGCCAGGATGTTTTTGTTCAGGGAACATTTAAATTTTTAAAGGGGCAGTTAAATTACAGTTAGTTAAATTAAGCTGAATGCCTGTCTTTAAAGGGGGTGGGTCCAAACCTGTTTCTAGCCCTTCCTTTCCAGGGACAGGCCAGCGTGCACATCAGTTCCTAAGACAAAACAGCTCAGAGAGCACTTAAATGCCTTCTGAGTTCCCTTTTACAGGGCAAGAAACCTTAGAAGGGCACCCGAGTGGTATCCAGTATGTCTCCAGCAATCACCCTTTCATACAGCAGGACTGGGGTAGCAGAAAGGGGGATTGTTGGATACGTATTGAAGGTGCCCCTCTTGAGTGCCCTTCTAAGCTTTCTTGTCCTATGAAAGGGAACTCCAAAGGCACTTAAATGCCTTCTGAGCTGTCTTTTCCCAGGTCCCATGATGCCCCCCCCGTTTCACAGTGGGAGGGAGAGGGAAGCCTGAGGGCCAGCCATGGCCATCTCACGCTGCCAGCAGCAGGCAGCAGGGGTCTCTCCTCAAAAATAAGGTTTTTAGCATGGTTTGTGGAGCGGGGCGTTTAACTAAGGGGACGGAGCCCCGAAATGCCCCACTGTAGCTACAGGCCTGATGAGAACCAATAATGAGTTTTTCTAGCACAAACTGAAATTGCTTTTGTTCAGACATGTGCCTGCAAACCAGAAGATGCCCTGTTTTAAAACCTGTTAGTGAGTAAGAGGAAATTGCTGATCAGCGCAGTATTGTATCCTGCCAGATTCATTTTTAAATCAGGTCCTCAGACACTATGCATGCAGTAGACTAGATCTAAAGGTGATCTTCCACGTACTGATTAAACCCAAGTTACTGAGATCCAACCCTGTGTTAGCATAACAGTGGGGCACCCTGTATGGCCATGGACCGTTGTCATGCTAATCCTACATGCAAAACAGCAGAATGGGAATGTATGAGTATGCCTTTTAATTTTGGGGGTTTTGTTTCTGTGAGCCTTTTTGTTTTGTCTATTTACACAACTCAATTTTCCATTTGCTAATCAATTCTCTTCTACTCACTGGCTAATAAATATTGTTTGCATTTAAAACAAAAAAGGCATTGGAAAACAGTGTAAATAAATATTTGTGAGCTCAGTGCACGCAAAGGAAAATCAGACTGGGACTATTGAATTGAAATTGTGGGGTTGGCAAAATTTGGTAGCAAGAGCACCAAATCCACATAAAGCTTAACTGTCTATAGTACCCTGCACAATGTCATATTTACTTTGTACCAGAGTCTTAGTTTCCTGATCACATCTGCTTATATTTGCACATGCTTAGTTTCTCTTTCTATTTCCCCCCCCCCCTTCTCTTTCCAGTGGCTTTTCATGGTCTCCCAGTGAAAATCAAGAAGGAACCCCACAGTCCGTGTTCTGAGCTGGGCTCTGCTTGCAGTCAAGAACAGCCATTCAAGTTCAGTTATGGGGAAAAGTGCCTGTACAATGTCAGGTAAAGAAAGTAGCCTGCATGTTTTGAGAGAGCTTCAGTGGAAACGGACCAAGGAGTAATAAAACCATGTCCTCCACCACCCGCATCCCACCCTCAGTAGACAGGACTGATAAGAGCGTGAGTGCATTTAGCCAAAGACTCTGGGAAGCATTTACACTCCTCTCTGGCATGTTTGAAAATCATTTTAAGGTAATTGCTCTGCCTTAAATATCCACAATGTATTCCTCTTCCCTTGGAGACAGCCTGAGTTTCAAAAGGGTGAGTCTTAGTTGCCGTGAGAGTGATTGTGTGTGTATGATGTACTTTTAAAATGCATTACATTCATTAGGGTTAAAGAGGCCATCTTGTAGAAAGGCAAGCCTGAACAACATATTACATATTTTGAGAAATTTTGCAGATGGGTTGTGTGCATGCATGCATATTCATGGATGATCATTTTTAAAAAATCACATTCTGTGAGGCTTTGTAGATACTATTATCAGTTCAGAAACAGGTTGCTGGCCTTTAGGAATAAGGGGTGGGGAGCAAAACTTTAAAAAAAATGGCTTGTAGGATAATTTTAATAGCTTTTTATTTTGGAAGGAAGCCAGCCCCAATACAGGGAGAGGCTCTGGCTCAGTGGTAGATCACATTCTTGGCCTGCAGAAGGCCCCAGACGCAATCCACAGCATCTTCACTTAGAGAAGCTCAGCTAGGAAGTGCTGGGTAAAAACCTTCTCTGGCTGATACCCTAGAAAGCTGCTGCCAGTCAGAGCAGGCAATATTAAGCAAGACAGACCAATGGTCTGAGTTGGTATAAAGCAACGCCATATGTTAACTAGAAAAACAGCTGCTGTTTTCCCATTGCCTATATGCTTTCTGCTCATTGCAATATACATCAGAGCTTAATTGCAAACAAGACAATGTGGGCAACTGTCTGAAAGGATAAAAATCGAGTCCAGTAGCACCTTCAAGACCAACAATTTTTTCCCCAAGGGATAAGCTTTTATGAACGTTGACTGTCAAAAGTGTATAACCTGGAATAATTTCCTGGTCTTCCACTTTATAGAAATTGGGGGTGGGTGGGTGGTGGCTGTTACAACGAAATCATATATTTAATACTTTTTTAAAAAATTATTTTTGTGGGTTTTTTGTGAAGCACCTTGGGTGTCTTTAACTGGGCAGAAAGGCAGCAATACAAATTAACTCACTACTGTAGAGAAAAGTTACATATTGGTAACTTGTTTAAAACATCAGTTATTTTGCAGTGATTCCTACTGTTTGCTCCATGTACAAAGAAAAAAGCCACCTGGTGTGAAACAAAGAGAATAAAGATTTATTTGCTTATGTACTGGATCCGCAGACAGTTCAATCCTTAACTCTCAGCCTGCGGTGGTAAATAAAGATGTACAAAGAATGGTTGTTAACAGCTCTGCTAGTATTAAATTTGAAGTTTCATGTGTCAGAGACCAGCACGACAATGGGCCACACAGGATATGTGCTGCTAATTCCCTAAATTATCTTCTCCTTAATTGGCAGTGCCTATGATCAGAAGCCACAAGTGGGAATGAGGCCCTCCAACCCTCCAACTCCATCAAGCACTCCAGTTTCACCACTGCATCATGCTTCCCCAAACTCGGCTCAGAATCCTAAACCTGACCGGGTTTTCCCTGCTCATCTGCCTTCAGCCCAGCCCATGCCAGATAACAGCTTCTCTATGGACCACAGGTAGGAGAAGAAGACTTCCTGGGTTCTGTGGTGAGCATTCCACAGTTTTTGTATTGGTGGCCCTGGATGATTATGCCACTGTCATTCACCATAGCTGCATTTGTTGTACACAATGGGGCAGAGTAGAGCACAGTTGAAACAGCAAAAGTCCTAGTCAGCACAGAATCTCTTTATAACCTTGCTTACTATCCTCCATAACTGAAGCTCTTGTCTACTTCGCTGTCTAGATGTCATGGGAGTGCTGATAAGCAGAGCAGAAGAGTAATTAGGAAAGTATTCAAGGTTATGAATGAAAAGTTCCATTGGAGTGAATGTAGACATGCGGAACAAGTTTTCCATAGGTACCGTACATGACAGTGTGCATGAAGGCACAGGGGAGCCTTCGTGTATACATATATATTCACTTTAAATTTATTTTAATAGCCAGGCATCTACAGACATCACCAGCTACTTGTTGTTGTATAAATTTGCATGGTATCAATTGAAAGGGTGGGGATTTTCCCCCTCTTTGGAGCTTTTTGAAATGCAACAGCTTATGGAAAGGAAGTTAAGCTGCCAAAACAAACTACCCTTCAAATGCCTTTAGGCTGAACAAAACCACAAAAGCTAAAAAAACAAAAACAAACCCCAAACCTTCAGCTACTTCCCTCAATCACCTTGTTGAGCTTTTGTATTTAAGGTCCTAAGGTAAAGCACTCATTGCTTGAATGAAATCTATGTCACTTAAAGTTTGCTGTGGCTGTGTTTGAACTGTGTTTATAATTGTTTACGCAAGTCTGATCAAACATTTACTTGTTGTTCTGTCATTTCCCTCACTGCTAAAATATGCAGTTTGGGCATGCTGCCTAATCCTATACATGTTTCCTAGTAAGTAAGCCTCACTAAGTTCAATGGGCCTACACTCAAGTATGTTTGCAGAATCACAGTGTCTTTGGCTGGCTTTGGAATTCCTTCGCTGTAGTAAGCTCGGTGACAAACTCGTGTTACAAGTAGAATTATCTATGAGTTCTTTTGGGGTTTTTTTTTTTGCATTCTAACCTTCCATGTCAAGCTGCCTTATATTGAGTCAGACCATTAGTCTGTCTGGGTCAGTATTGCCTACTCTGACTGGCAGCAGCTCTCCAGGGTCTCAGGCAGAGGTCTTTCATATCACTTCTGCTGTGATCCTTTTAACTGGTGGTGCCAGGGATTGAAAAAGAGACCTTCTGCTTTCAAAGCAGATGCCTTACCACTGATCCGCAGCCCATCCTATAACTGTACAGTGGCAGCAGTGAGAAAATGTCAGTGTGTATGTGGTGTGTGTGGGGGGACCAGTGCTATATGGAAGACTGCAAAATCTTCTGGCCTGCTGTCTTGGCCTACCTGCAGCTCCAATTACGCCATTCACATGTGGAATGAAAATGGCCTTAACAGGAACCAACAGCAATCAAAGCCAGTTGTATAAACATATGGCTTGATTTCCATGCAAAGCTTCCTGTGTGAGTGTTATTAACTTGCTTTTGAGGCTTGGTAAGTGAACCTGTTTCTTATTTGATTTCCGAGTTGCCATTTTTCTGATTCATTCCTGACAGTTTTTTAATGATGACTTCTGCTCCTTTTCTTGTCGGGCGGGGGGGATGAATACAGAGCCAGTCAACAGTAATTTCCAGTGCTTTGAATTTAAGATCGTGTTTTCTGAAGGTGTAGGTGGACTGCAGAGGCACCACTCCATTCGCTGTGCTATAGAATATTTTTAGCTCTGTGAAATGTATTTGCTTTTTGGCTGTGCTCTTGCCTTGAGAGACATTTTCATCTCTGCTTCCACCATTACAAAGGATGTGTGTGTGTTTGAGTTTTAGTTGTAAGGGATCAAAAAAGAAATGTCAATACTGAGTTGTTGTTTTTGTTGTTGTTTTTTTTACAGCTCCCCACCATGCACATGCATAAATTTAGGGGTTAAAATTACCATGGGGAAAAAATAGAAGAGAGGACCTCAACTGGTCCTCCAAAACAGGCTTTTAAAATATGATCCTTGTGGTTCAGGTGTGAACACTTTGTCATGTATAACTTTTAAGATATAATTCTTGCCTCGACTAGCCAATCCTAGAATCAACGTAGAAGGCTTCACTGCAAGAATTACATAAGAAAAACTGTACAGGAGGAAGGGTTTTGTAACGGATCTTATCATGGTTCACAGGGGTGGAGGTGTCTGCTCAGCTCCCCATCCAGTCTGTATGTCCAACTGGGTTCTCTTGTGTTAAATCCCAGATTTCGCCGTCAGCTTTCGGAACCTTGCAATTCATTCCCTCCTTTGCCTACAATGCCAAGGGAAGGACGGCCAATGTACCAACGGCAGATGTCCGAGCCAAACATCCCTTTTCCACCACAAGGGTTTAAGCAGGAGTACCATGATCCAGTATATGAACATAATGCTATGATTGGTTCAGCCAATCAAAACTTCCCCCCTCCTCTGATGATTAAACAGGAACCTAGAGATTTTGCATATGATTCAGGTAGGTGGGAACTTTCTTCCATTTTGTTCAGTTGGATTTTGCTGTTTTATCGTAAATAAGCTTTGAGAGAGAGGAAAATGTTGTACACAAGGAATGCTGCTTTGAATGGTCACATTAGATGGTAATGTTACAATAAAGCCTCCTTTCCTGGCAAGCAGCATTGGCACAATGGAACAGATAAATTGGTTTTCAGAATATGTTCACTCTGTAGACTACTTTCTAGACCTGTTGCTCTGGAAATGAGACACTGTAGTTGCCAAGGAAGAAAACTGGAATTTTGAACATGATGTAGTTGCTCATGATAAGAGTTATGCTTCCCTCAGGCAGGAAACCTTTAAACCCCTTTAAAGGAAACAAAAAAAGTACTTAGGGTTAAGTGAGCATTTTGACAACTATAACCTAAACTTTCACATTAGTGTAGCATTATGTATGTAGGTTTGCATGTTGGGGGAGAGGATGTGATGTAGGGAGGATGGAGGATGAGGGACAAAGGGAACAGGAGGATGAATGAACAAATTTTGTAAGCTGCCTGGAACCTCTCATATGGGGTAGGGTATCGATATCTTAATAAATACATTGGGAATACAGTTGAAGTTTGAATATTCAAGTTATCCTCTATGATCCTCTCCCTCAGCATGGTTATTGAGGGATTTTGAATGTCTGCCAGATCATTCAGATGAAATGAAGTTGAATCAGAAGTTGACACTCATCAAAGGAATGGGCCTGTACTCCATGCTGCAGTAACTTTATTTTGTTTTTCTAATGATTTACAATATGAGTAAATTCACCTTAGACAAAAGGCTACAGGAGCATCCATTTGTTCAATTTAATAAATGATAGCCAGCATTG